ATACAGGGATATGAGGTATAGGATACAGGGATATGAGGTATGGGAAAAGGATGTGGGATCCTGCCAGCGGCAAGCCTTGGGGCACACAGAGCTGTCCTGGTGCTGCTGCTCCTGCCATGGCTGTGCTCCTGGGCTGGATTTGCCTCTAGTGCATGGGGATTTCTCTCACCTGGTTAAAAATCCCACCTTTTTGTGGGATCTGGAAATGGAAACCTCCCTGAAGGTGCTGCTGGGGCCAGGCAGTGGCTCCATGGGGAGGGAGCGCTGCAGGCAGGGAATGGTGCCCAGCAGGGAATGGGGATTGGGGCAGGGAGAGGGGATTGGGGCAGGGAGAGGGGATTGGGGCAGGGATTGGGACAGGGATTGGGGCAGGGATTGAGACAGGGAGAGGAAATTGGGGTAAGGATTGTGGCAGGGAGAGGGGATTGGGACAGGGATTGTGGAAGGATTGTGGCAGGGATTGGGGCAGGGATTGTGACAGAGAGCAGGGATTGGGGCAGGAATTGTGGCAGAGAACAGAGATTGGGGCAGGGATTGTGACAGGGATTGTAAAAGGGATTGTGACAGAGATTGTGGCAGGGAGCAGGAGTGTCCCTTGGGAGCAGATCTGTTTTGGTGACAGGACAAGTGGCACTGCCAGTTTGGCGAGCCCGTGCCAGCTCCCTCAATTCCTGCTGAACTTTCAGCACCTTTGGTGCTCTGTATTGATTTATCAAAAATAAGGAATCCCTCGGGGTTTTCAGCGCAAACCTCAGCAATCCACACCAACTTCTCGCTTTCCCCTGGCAGGTGCGGTGCTGGCAGCACGAGGAGAAGGAGGAAAACGCCAAAAGGATCCGCACRGTGGGGAACCAGACCTCCACCAGGGTCAGCAACCTGCGGGGCAATGCCCTGTACCACCTGGCAGTGCGAGCCTACAACACGGCGGGCACCGGCCCCTCCAGCGCCGCCGTCAACGTCACCACCAAAAAACCCCGTGAGTGTTGGCAGGGGGGCCCTGCAGGGTCCAGACATTGCTCCCCATCTCGTTTCCAAGCTCTCTTGGGTCTGAAGGAGCTGTCAGATTTCCCCTTGCCAGGTTTTCATGCAGACGATTTACCACTCTCAGCCTTTCTTATTTTCTTTTTTTTTTTTTTTCCGTGAGGTTCTTCCCCGTGTTAAGTAAGCAGAGCATGCAAAACCGAAATCACAGCTGTGCAGGCAAATTAAATATTTATCTCGGCGTTCAAGAGGGCTTTTTTCCTCTGGTCTCAGGCATGTTGAGCAAGTGACTGAATCCCTTTCTGATTTGAAGCCCTGTGTCGTGTCACACCTCCCGTGACCTGGAGGACACAGATGAGCAGAGCAGCTCGTTAGTTTTCCAGAGGGACAGCAATCCAGGCAGGCTCAGTTTTCTCTGGAAGGGCTCCAGCTGGGAGCTGGCTSTCCCCAGTAACGTGCTGCTCTGTGTATTTTGGTGCAGCACCCAGCCAGCCCCCCGGGAACATCGTGTGGAATTCATCCGACTCCAAGATCATCCTCAACTGGGACCAGGTGAAAGCCTTGGACAACGAGTCCGAAGTGAGGGGCTACAAAGTGAGTATTTCCATGGTGTTTTCATGATTTTCCACCTTAAACCTGGGGCATTCCTCCAAAACCAGAGGCCACACTTGTKTGATGTGAGCACATTTTTCCTGCTGCTCCCTCTGGCCCCTGGGAGCTCCTTCCTCCACAGTTCCCACCTGCAGGACTTTGCTCCTCCCTTCCCTGGAAACTTCCCAAAGGCTGCAGTTGGCTCCTTAATTGCAGATAAATAAAATGCTTTTTTAATAGCTCCCATTTYCTTCAGAAAGCAAAGCCAAGAGGAAAAGAAAGAGAATCCTCACTAGAGGCAGTTTTAATAGGACTTAATTTAACCAGAGAGAAACCTCGGGAAGGATTCAGCTCCATCACCTTCCACAAGAGTTTCATTCAGCCCAAAATGATGMAGCCCTGAGGATTACACAGATCTGTGCAAACACCCAGAGCCTGAGGCAGGGCAGGACCTGGAACTGCTCTGGGTTCTGTTCCCAGCTCCCCTCGGTTCCTGACAAATTTCTGAGTATCTCTGGTGCTCTGTATGGGTTTAGCAAAAATAAGGAATTCCTCAGGGCTTTTAGTCCAAACCTCAGATGAACCTCAGCAGTCTGGACCAGCTTCTCAGTACGTATTTTCAGTTTGAAATGCAAATTAAGATGTTGGTGGAAAGAGGGAGAGGGAGAGTCGTCACCCTGAGAAAGCATCTTGAGGATTTCTAAAACATTCTCTTTTGACTGTTAGCACAGCACAACCAGATGGATTTATACCCTGAATCATGGCAAAATATTGCCCATTTTTCTTCTTTTTTCCTAGAAATCTCCTATTTTATGTCACAATTTAYGATATAAATTAGTACAACTCCCACAGCTCAGAAGGTCATTCACAAAAGTCATTTATTCTGGGAAACCGTTTGTGGCACTGCATCAAATATCCCAACTCAGTTTCCAGAAGAAGCACAGTAAGGAGTTTCTGACCCCTATAAATAAGTTTTTACTCACACAGGGGTTTATTTTAGCTTGACCAAGGTGAAGATTTCTCCGAGGTGTCCACCAGGTACCGGTGCTGTGTTTGGTGTGGCCCATCATCATCATCATCATCATCATCCTGCCAGTGTCACCCCCTGCCTGGGCACTGCTGTGTCCCCACAGACCCCACATGTCCCCTCTGTCACCAGACCATGCCCAAGCTGCCCAGAGGGGCAGGAAAGGAGCAGCAGCACCTCGGGGCACTCTGAGGAACCCTGAGCAGCTCTGCCCTTCACTCCTCCTGTTTTGTGTCCCTCTCCACAGGTYCTGTACAGGTGGAACAGGCAGAGCAGCACGTCTGTCATCGAAACAAACAAAACCTGGGTGGAGCTGTCGCTGCCCTTCGACGAGGATTATATCATCGAGATCAAACCCGTCAGCGACGGCGGCGACGGCAGCAGCAGCGAGCAAATCCGAATCCCAAAGATCTCGAGTAAGGATGGGGTCTGTGCCACAGGGGTCCCTGGTTCAGATTTCACCCCAAAATTGAGATTCAGCCATAAAAAACGCCACCCTAAGTAGTTCTATTTGTATTTAAGATTTCCAGACGCTTTCCCCTCTCAATTCCRTGCTCAGATATGCTTTGAATAGATTGTTTCACTGCAGTTCACTATAAGCAAATACAGGATGCAGAGGCTTTTAAATTTATAAGGCTACTGTACAGCCATATCCCATTGTGTGCTGGCTGCATAAATATTTATTTAGGGAAATGAGGTGGTGTAGAAGAACAAACACAAAGAGTATTTTATTACACAACATGGCTTTTGSAAAATCTCCATGTCCCATCTTCCATTAATAACGTCCCAGTTTATAAGCTGCATTAAATCAGGAGCCTCTGCAATGCAGGAATATGGCATTAAAATTACAGCGATGTTAAAAAAGGCTGGGTGAGAGCAGGGCTCTCCCCACYGTGGCCATATAAACCATGCAGAGAGATTTAATCAGCAGCAAGAGGAGGCAAAGGGGGGCTGGAAGATGCCAGATCCATTTGGCTCAAGGCTGGGTCACCCAGCAGGGACGTGGCTCCTCAGGGATGGGCTGGTGCCACCAGGAACAGCTGGAATATGGTGCAGTCGTGAAAAAATACCAAATAATGACAAGAGAGCAGYGTGTGAAATAATGTAACTGTGAAAAGAGCCTCGGCACAACGGGGCAGGAATTGAAATGAAATCAAAAATTCAGTTGGAGAGGCGGCCGTAAAGAGGAGGGGGCTGTGTGTGGGGGCTGTGCTTTATCTGAAAAAAGGGAATTGAAATGTTGGGTGGGGGGTTAAGGAATTGTTCTGGGCTCACCTCTGGCTCCTTCTCCCCTCTCCCCCTGCCAGATGCCTAYGCCAGAGGCTCGGGCTCGTCGACCTCCAGCGCCTGCACCCTGTCAGCCCTCAGCACAATCATGATCTCACTCACAGCCCGCTCCAGTTTATGACAACAATGGCATCGAGGACTTCTTCTTTATAATATAAGCAACATTTAGCTAGTTGTTTTGGAGACACCCAGTACTAAGTAATATTGTGGTTTGAGTACATCTTACTACTGGAAAAAAAAAAATGTTTATGCTTCTTTAGGAATGGCATTATACAGTACTTCCTCAAAGCAAATATAGCTTTGTCTGAAGTTTCCTTGGAAACTCTGCAATGCACTGAAAACATCTGTAATATGATGTTACCAAAGCAGTTTACATATGTCCTTATATGCATATTTTTTATTATATATTTAGTGTTTTATAGAATTTTTTAAAGTTAACATATGATGTAGATATTAATTTTTTCCTCTGCTATGAAATGCTACGGACGACATTATCACGGAAAATATTTGTTTGGGATTTTTTCCTTTCTGACGGAGGGTTGGAAGTTGTTCTCGGTACCTTGGCTGGAGTTGACTGTAGGGTTTCACGAGGCAGAACTGACCCAGACCTGGATTGGAACAGGCTGAAGTGCACTGGCAGCTCCCTGTGTTGAACCAAGTGCTTCTCACACACGTTTTATCCAGAGCAGGACAAACTCAACGCACGCAGAACACCGGAACCTTGGAAAACCACGTGGGTTTTGGTCGGTTGTGGATCACAGGACACGCAGCCAACATTCTGGCACTGTGCAGCGAGGAGGGGCTGTCGTGAAATTGCTTTTTCTTGATCATAATGAGCATCAGACGGGGTGGGGATGGAGATCCTGCAGAGCTGTGATCGGTGACATGACGGGACGGGTGACGCYGCGGCTCCACCCGCCTTGGGAGGTTTAATTCTGAGGAAATTCCACACCTTTGGGGATTAATTCCATGGAAATCAGAACACAGCCACTCTGAGACACAAAGCTGCTCCGGGCTCCTTCTTTGGGACACAACTCCTCATCCTTGGCAGCTCCACTCTCCGAACGCTTGGGAATGTTGTGCGGAGCAGAGCGGCGCCCCGGGGAGCTCCAGGGCATTTCCCTTCCAGGAGATCCCTGCTCCAAGTTTGCCTTTCTTTAGAAACTCTTCCCACATGCCTGGAGGCAGAACAGAGTCACACCAGAAAACGACAATATCCACACTGGAATAATTCTTCTCGAGAGAAGGACTGTTTGTTATTACGGGGAATTTTGTAAGTTTGGACGGGATAACGCTGGCAAAAGGCAACGGAATTTTCTATACAATTTTCAACTTTCAATGCGCTGCAGTGGTATTTATTTTTTTTTCTTTCCTGATAGCTTGAATTTGCCTGTAACTTGTCTTTTTTGCTTACAAAATAATACAGTTAACTTTTAGACCTTCTAAATATATTTATTCAGTAACTCATAATCAGGATTCCACTTGTGTAAAAGTCAGGGGTGTTGACCAGAGAAATATTGTCAGTATTTCAAGCTGTGTTCCTTTCTTAGTTTGATATGGTTACTTCTATGTAAAAAATACAAAAAATTTAAAAAAAAAACAAACAAAAAAAAATCCACAAAACCAAGAAAAATGAAATGAAAAAAAAAGCTTCTGTAGTTTTCTCCCCGGTGTAAATGATATTTATCAGTGATCTAGCAGATGTAATCTTTTTTTAAAGGTATTGGTAATAAATATTCTGTCATTTGTAAAGATACCTGTCTTCCAGGAGCCTTTTTCCTCCGTGTTTCATTCTGCCCAGTGAGAAATTTCACCTGCTGAGACTGTCACTGATGTGAAGATACAAGAGCTGGTTCAAGTCAAAACTTTTTGGAAGCAGAAAAAAAAATCTTTATACATCTCTGGTCTAATTCTGCTCCCAAAACTGGCTGGAAATCTCTGTGGGGATGGATTTTGGGTGGATTTTGTAGAGGCACAGGCTGTCCAAGCCCACGGGGATGGAGCTGGTGGAGCATCTCTGACCCTGTGGCTGCAGCAAAGCCCCTCAGGCACTGGGGATTCCTCAGGGTTGGGGGGCACTGCTTGGAGCCACTCCATCGAATTCTAATTCAATTTAATTCAGASAATTTCTAATTCTTTCAGGGCAGGAGTTGCACAACGCTCTCTGCATTTCAGAGGAGCGATGCTGCACTTGGCAATCAGTGAAGCACAAAAGTAAACCGGCCCAGTAGCACGAGTCCATGTACAAAAATAAATGTAAAATTGCCATTTCCAGAGGCAGGTGAGGAGCAGCTCCTGGAGGCAGCAGGGMAGAGCTGGGAAGGAGGAATGCAAGGGTTGGGAGCTGGGTTTGAAGGGGAAAAAGTCAGAAATTAATATTTTTCTGCTGTGGGAATGGGGATGGAGATGTGGGGTGGTGATGCCAAAGCCTGACACAGCCCTGGCTGCATCCTCCGTGCCTGGGATGTCCTGGACAAATTCCCTTTTCCCTCATATCCTGGAATGAAGATTTTACTCCAGGAATCACAGCCTGAGGAGGCAGCTCAGCCAGGAATTGTCCCCATCCTGCACCCTTGGTTCTCCAGCACAGGGAGATCCCACCACACCCCTGCACTGCCCCAAAGGTGAGTGGGGTGGGGAAATGCAGGTGCTCCTGCTTTACACCAGSTTGGATTTATTTACTAGCACGAGTACAATTCTGGCTGCTGGCTCTCCAAACCATCCAGCCCTGCCTGTCCCCGTGAGGACTCATCCTGCAAACACCAAGGACCTGACAAGTAGAATGTATTTAAATTGATTGCATTCATCTGTGCAATACCTTGCCATTGATGGGAATGGAATTATATGTGGAAATTTTATTTATTAGGCCACTTGAAGGCAYGACGTAAAATACATTCCAGTAAGTGACTTCTCTTTAGTCTCATTTTTAGGATTTCACTAATGAAATTCTGATTTTAGATTGTTAAAGTTGGGCCCCTCAAATCCATCAAAAGCTCAGGCAGGAGAGACATTGGAGGCACAAATGTTATATTAATGAGCTACATTAATTTTGATGGAGCAATGCTATTTCACCCAGATGAGAACTGGCTCATTTATTATAATTATTTTTAGTCTGAAGCATGTGGGAACTCCATTTCTTTAGGCACTTTCCAAAGAACCTTTGGCCTGGGTCAAATCTTTATTTTTATTGATTGTTAAAATGTTTAACCCCTCCTCTGGGCCAGCTCCATGGACAGGAGGTTTCYTGGAATTAGAAGGGACTCTGCAAGACCAGGAGAATTTCATGGGTCACAGCCTGAGGTTTGGGGCAGGAGGTTTGTTTGGGAACTCCCTCAGTGGATCACAGAACACAGGTAAATACAGCAGAAACTGAGGCTCAAACCCAGGTTGTGTAAGATGGAACAACAGCAAAGAAAAACAGGCTGCAAACATGGGTTTGGATTTTCAGAATTGCTGAAGTTGCACGCCCAGGACGCACCCAGCTCGCTGCAGCTCAGACTCCTCAGAGCACCACCAAGTCCTTGGCACATTTCTTTAATGCCTGCATTTGAAATCTCTGTGTTCCCAGGCTGCTTTGTTTTGTTGGTGCCTTTGAGGAAGTTTATCTGTTTATGCCTTTTTTTTTTTTTTTTTCCTTCGTGGCAGGAAGCACAAACAATCCCTTGCTGTCCTGCTGAGGTCAGAGCCTGCAAAGGAGCCTTGGGCTGGAAATGAGATCCCTGAGGGTCTTGGGGTGGAAATGAGATCCCTGAGGGTCTTGAGGTGGAAATGAGACACCCGAGGGTCTTGGGGTGGAAATGAGACCCCTGAGGGTCTTGGGGTGGAAATGAGCCCCTGAGGATCTCCTGTGCCTGCCCAAGGGTAGAACTGCCCTGCCTGGGGAGGATCCACCTGGGCAGGGGATGTTCCTTCACAGCCCTCAATCCCAGCAGCATTCCCTCACCCAGGAGAGTGACAGCACAGGGGAATGTTTTCCTGCTGGAATGGGGCACCTGAGGGTGCAGGATAACCAGAAAAAAGGAATCCATCAGCTCTTTCCCAGATTTTTTTTTCCCAGCACAGCACTTGTGCCTTGACCTTCTATCCTGCTTTTGCTGGTTCGTTTTCTTTGGTAATGTCTCATTGTGCAAGGCACCTTGTGGAAGCGATTTCTCCTCCCCTCTGGGAACAGGGACACAGAGGAGCTGCCAGGGACCCTCTCCACTGGTGACACTGGGGACGTGCAGCCTCTCAGAACACGGAATCCTCGAGGATGCTGCAGGGGACACCTTCRGCCAGGCTGCTCACCTCGGTCTCCGTGGAGCTGGTGCAGGTCCGTGCCCTCTGGAAAACAAACACCCCTTTGAGCTGGGAGGGGCTGCCTTGGGATGGGGCAGAGTTGGGTAAACCCCATGGCTCAGACGGCTGCATTTAGAGAGGATTTACCCAAAATGTTTCATGGTTTAGGAGCTCGGGGGCATTGGGGTCAACAGGAGGAWTTTCCCCTCCTGCTGAAGCTCTCCCAGAGCTGCTCATCCCTTGAGCTCTGCACCCCAATTCCCCATTTGCCACATTTTCCACCCCTCTGAAGCTGATGAAGAGCCCCAGGAGGGCACAGAATCCTGAAATCATTAAGGCTGGAAAAAACCTCCAARATCATCAAGGCCAACCTTTGATCTGATCCCACCACAGCCAGTAAATCCCATCACAAAGTGTGGTGWCTCCAYCACTTCCCTGGGGAGCTTTTCCAGGCCCTGAGAGCCCTTTCAGGGCTGAGGCACGGGAATGTTTCTGAATGCAAAGCCCATTTCTGGGGCCACATCCTGACCCCATGGGCATAGAACTGCACAAACACATGTGCAGGGCTGCTGAGCTGCAGAGGAAGCAGAAGCAGCAGCTGAGCTGGTGGCAAGCCCTGCAGGGTGGCAGGTGACAGAGCAGGGACAAGCAGGTTCTCACAGGCCACCATTGAGCAGGGTTTCATCACCCAGCTCTGTTTACAGGGTGAATTTAGGAACTGAGTGTCCCAACAAAGAACTTCACCTCCCTGGTGACCTCAGCAGGGCCCTGGGTCATGGCCTCACCTCTCCTTGCCAGGGCCACAAACCTTGACAGCTGAAAACAAGGCAGAGCTGCTGCTGAGAATGWGAAACTGCCTTTCCCACCTGCAGCATTAATATTTCCTGTTTCTCATATTCTTTGTTGTGATGCCCCAAGTCATGGTGGTTTACACCAGTTAATTAAAAACAAACATTGTATGATAATCTTTTAAGCATGTTTTCTTGACCAGGCCATGGAGGAAGAACARTATCCAAAAAATCAAACCCCTGTTCTGAGGTGAAATGAAAACCAAGCTGCTGAGCAGACAATGAGGGGTTTATCTTATCTATAAGGTAAATGTATCTATCAGAAGTAACAGCTATCGTAATCAGGCTCAAGTCCAGCTTAACAGCAGGAGCAAAAATGGTGAGGTTTAACAAAGCCAGGTCTCCAGGACCCCCCCAGCAGCTGCCAAGGCAGAGCTCCCTGCCTGACTGTGCAGAAACTGAATTTCCCTGCAAAAGGCAGAGCCAGGGCTGTGCCTGSAATTCCATGGATATTCACAAAGCACTCCTTTATCCTTTTGTTGGTTTTTAACCCTTYCCAAAGCACAACATCTGCAAATCAAGGCAGATCCAGAGCTGCAGCACACTGAGACCTGTCCCAGAGGAGGGGCCATGCAGCCCCATGAGACCCCACCAGAACAGTGAGGATTGCTGATTCCCAGCCTCAGGAATTCCACWTTCCATGGGYTGTGTSGGCATGGGGTCATCCAGTCRAAGRTTGGACTTGATTGYCTTGGAGRTCTTTTCMAACCAAGACATTTCCAGATTTAATCATTCCATGATCCCATTTGCTCCCAGCCTTACAGGCAAAAAGCAGCACAAAAMCACAAGTATTCCTTTCTAATTTAGTAACTAAAGTGTTATTTTACCTCGTAATCAACTGGGAAGAGGTCTCGGAATTTGTTGCTGGGCGTTGGAATTGGTGGGAACAGTCTACTCCACAGGTGGTTTCTGTAAAAGACAGCAGAGGAGGGATGAGAGAAGGAGGGATGTGAGAGGAGGGATGTGAGAGGAGGGATGTGAGAGGAGGGATGTGAGAGGAGGGATGAGAGAGAGAGGGATGAGAGAGAGAGGGATGAGAGAAGGAGGGATGTGAGAGTGAGAGATGAGAGAGGGATGGATGTGAGAGTGAGAGATGAGAGAGAGAGGGATGAGAGAAGGAGGGATGAGAGAGGAGGGATGGATGTGAGAGGGAGGGATGAGAGAAGGAGGGATGTGAGAGGAGATGTGAGAGGGAGGGATGTGAGAGGAGATGTGAGAGGGAGGGATGTGAGAGTGAGAGATGAGAGAGGGAGGGATATGAGAGGAGGGATGAGAGAGGAGATGTGAGAGGAGGGATGTGAGAGGGCTACAGCTCCCAGAGATGTGAGAGGGCTGCTGTTCCTCATGGATATGACAGGGCTGCAGCTCCCCAGGGATGATTTCCTTGGCACAGCACACATTCAGCCCCAGCAGCAGTGGGCTCTGCTGCACCTCCTGCCCCTCTCCTGCTCCAGCACCCAACAGCAGCAGCAGTGGCTCACAAGGGGTGCCAGTGATGGGTGATGGTCCCCACCGGGGCTGGGCAGCCCAGGGCACCCCTGGGGATGTGTGGGTGCCAAGGGGGAGGTGGCTGAAGGTGTCCCCCAGCCTGTCCCTCCACAGCCACAGCCACTCCCATCCCCTGCTGGGGCTCTGGGACAGAATTCATTGCTCTGATCTGTTGGTGCTGGTGTTCTTCCCAAGGCTCTGCTGTCATGTCCCTCGTTTGGACAGCCAAGACAAGCTGCCTCTGCCCAAACTCTGGTTTGGGGACACAAACTGCCAGTGCCTGGTGGAGGGAGAGCAGCCACKAATAATGGTGTGCCGGGGGAGAGGCAGCAGGGAGGGCTGGCAGTAAATGGTTCTGTTTAGAGCTGTAATAAYTCATCCTGCTGACACCCTGAGAGCCTCCCTGGCCTGGCTGGGCAYGCAGCACAGCGATTTTTGTGATAGYAAAGAGGGAACTTKYCTTGCCTTGGGYACATCCCWGARCTCAGAGCTCACAYTGYAGGCCCMAGAATGCTCTCGCTGTCTCCACCCCTGGATRGCACCATGTCCAAAAGGGCAGGATTTGGTGAGAACTGGGCCTGAGTGAAGCCTCTTTAGCCCAGAACTGGTAGCCAGGGTCAGCTCTGGATGAGGCAGAGACCAAGGTGTGGGGCTGAGCTGCTTCTCTGCCCCRTTTATTTTGTGACAATCCCCCCAGCTGATGTCTGCTCAGTTCAGYGCTTATGTTCTTAGGACTTTTCTTCTCCCAAAAGCTTTCTGAGTTCTGTCAAGTTTCCCTTTATCCTGTTATTATTCTCCTGGTGAGGAGGAATAATATTTTCTGTCTATCAGCTCGGAGCTAAACCTTGCTGGCAGAGCTGCTGCTGCCTTGAAGGTGACATTGAAGCTTCATTAATGATCAGAGGAAGGGAAGGGCCACCCCCTGCTCACACCACAGACAGGACCAGGCAAACTGGGGGATATCTCCCCATTGCTGCACGTGGATGAGGCTCTGGGAGGGAATTGTACCGCCAGAAATGGGAATATGGGGAGGAAAAACAGGATTGAGGTGTTTTGGGGGAAATGTTTGCATTTCTTTTGTTGAAAGGCTGGACACGGTGGAGTCTCTGTGGGGTGCAGAGGCTCAGGGAGGATGTTTGCTCCCCAGCAGAGGGGTGGGACAGGAGAGTGGCTGCTGCTGGGGCTCAGGAATGGGGCAGGATGAGTGCCAATATCCCTGCAGCAGCCCCTGGCATCGTGTCCAGCCTCCCCAGCTCTGCCCTAAGGTCAGGCCATGTGCCCTCACCAGGGCAGCTTTGCAGCTCTGCTGTCCTCACAGCTCCTCCACTTCACCAGCTCCCCAAACCTTCCAAAAGGCCACGCCATTCCACCTGCACCTCATTTCAGCTCTCATTTGTGCCACTGCTGTGCAATGTACCCAAAGACATTTGCTTCTGTTCGGGATTGTTCCTCGTTGTGCTGTTTGYCAGTGACAGATTTTGATGGAGCCACATCAAAATTATTTATTGAGTCAGCAGAAAACGTAAGTTCCACGTCACTTCTGGAAGGGAAACACTTGAGGAGGAGTGAACAAATGCTCCAGAGAAATGAGGCAGAAGCASACGTGTGCCCATGGGGGCTGCTTCATCCCTCAGCTTTGCAGGGAGGCGGTGTGGGGTGGTGCCCTCAGAAGGGTTCTGYTCCTTTTTGGAGTTTACTGGAAAGGGAGTGATGTGATTAAAGATTTTGTCACCAAAAGCATCCCAGGTAGCTCTGCTGGTCTCTGAGGAGAAGGCACAGCCCTTTCCATTAGCCCTACTTTCACCTTCAGACCTTGGACATGCCAATGGGACCCTCCTGCCTCAAATCAGCATTTCAGGGTCTCCAGTGCTTGTGCTGTGTCTGTCTGCCTGAAATTCCCACTTTTCCCATGGGCTGTGACATGAAAAGGCCAGAGATAAACAAAGAGAAACAAGCAGCAGAACAAGTTCTTCTTTTCCCTCTTCTAAGCACTGTGATGAGATTGAGAAAGATTTGCTTTTTGTCCAAGTGCCTTTCTTCCCCTGAGCATCCCCGGGGAGTTTTCCCAAAGCTGGCTGGTGCCTGCTGGGTGTGGAGTGCAGAACAGGGGGGTACATGGATGATCACAGYGATTTTGGGGTGTGGAGGCACTGAGTGCCCTCCTGCCAGCTAAGAGGAGCAAGTTACTGACTCCATCCTGCTGTGAGATCGCCTCCAGCAGAAAATGTTGTTCCTGGGGAAGTACAGACACTGCTCACTCCTACAGACAGAGGGCAAACCAGGAAAACATCCAATTGAGGTTTTTCTCAAGACTGTAACCCCATCTGCCTCTGTGAGTAAGTGAAGGGAAAAGCCTGCCCAAAGAGTCCCAGGGGGCTCCTTTGCCTTGCAGCACTCCTCCCAAATGGTGGTCTTTATCCCTGATGCCTGCGAGTACACAGAAAAATTTATAGACCTCTTTGCTGTAATGAAATTCCTTATAATGGCTGCAAATCGCATGAAATTTGAAACGATTCCGTGGCTTGAATTGCAGAGTGCACTTCATGAATTTTCAAGAGCAGTAAAAACAGAGASTGCTAATGAAACTGTGATCTGGGGAACCTGCTCGATTTTTCTTTTTTTAATATCTGCAGGTACAACACTGTGTTTCATCTTCTTATGTTCCTCCATCCTCCTGGGGCAAGCTGGGGATTAGAGGAGGAGAAGGAGCAAGGAGCAGCAGGGAAGGGTGGAATGAGGTGAGCAGCTCCATGAAATTCAGYGCAGAGTGGAGGTAAAATTTTCATCACGCTGGCAAAGAGAGAAAGTAATGAGCCTGTGGGTGTTAGGGAATTTTATACTGGGGAGAAACTCCTGGAAGCAACCAAGGTAGCTGCAAGCAGCTGGATCTGGAAAAACTCCCTGAAATTAGGAGTAAAATCATAAAATGCCTTATTACAGCATCTCCAAGTTGAGTAGAAGTGTTTCCCTGTATTTATTTATTCCAGGGTGTCGAAAAGGGGTAACTAATATCTGAATGTTTGCAGAACTCCACAGGAAACCACGGAGCACTGGGATTGCTGTAAATTGGTCTGGATTTGCTGAACCAAAGAAAATGCTGGAACAGGGGAGCACCTCCAGCTCCAGGTGAATCCATAAAGAATCAGGGATGTAGTGAGAGCACTTTGGGGTTCTCAGCAATGCATCAAGGCTGGGGACAAGTGACACATGACAGGAATAAACTCCCTGGGCATTTCTTGTGTCCTGCTCTTAGCAGGGCTCCTCCCTGGGCAATGCTCTGCTCATCAGCTCCCTGAGAACAGGGYACACAGGCAGCAGGCACCCGAGGCAGAGAGAACAGCAGAAATTCCCTTGGAACAAACATTCCTGCAGCCAGCACCTTCACTGGATAAAGAAAACACTGCAGGGAATGGAAAACAGCCATGGATGTATCGGGATGGCAAATAAATGAAAAGRCAGTGAAGAAATGACTCAGGAATTAGCAGAGTTGAGGACAGCACTTCCATTGTGGGCTGCTAATTGCTGCGTGTTTCAGGGAAGCTTCTAATTACAGGGATTCCTTAATTYATCACTCCTGATTTGACTGTCCCAGACACAGATGCAAAGTGTAGCTGGGCTTCTTCACTGCATATTTGGTATTGCCTTTACTAGATGGCATCCAGAGCCTCTGCATAATTAAAAATAAATTAAATAAATAGTTCAAATACTCCAGCAAACACCGGAGGCCTGTGCATTTTGGTCATGAAAGATGCTCTCAGCATCTTTCAAATGCAGATTTCTGGGGAAATCACTGACCCAATCAGGTGCATTTAAGTGAAGAAATGAGATAAGGACAAATAGATTTTTAACAAATTCACCCCAGTTCATGSGTTTGTTGTATAAGATTAAATTGAAAACTCTCTTAGCCCGCTAATTTTGCTGAATGTTACCATTGATAATTAAGGAGGCTGATTATTTTTGCTTTGTGTATTTATGCTTCAATACCAAACTCAGTGCTTTTTCCTGGAATTAAACAAAGTTTGTGACATCCCCTCACACTTGTTGAACATGCAGGGTTTAGTTTTATAATAATAAAAAGAATATRCTGATACTTACATTTTGCATATTATAGCAACAAGCAGGAATGTGCAGAATACGAACACACAAAGCAGAGTGAAAACCCAGGTTATGGAATTCTCCAGTTTATTTTGCCCTGAATTTCAAGAAAAAAAAATCAAATATATTATTTTAGTGCAGATTATTTGAAACACTCTTTTAAAATATTTCATCAGCTTTTTAAAAATATTTCATCAGCTTTTTAAAAATATTTCATCAGCTTTTTCATGTGGTTGTATTCAGATTCAAATCAACATGTTAAGTTTTCAAATTAACATGAAAAAATACCTAGAATTAGAAATTAATTGCAGGGCTTGAAGAAGAGTTTCCATGGCACCAAATTTCTGATTTCAACAATACATTTTTTTTTATTTTGAAGGAGAGAAGAAGTGGCTGAGAAAATGGCTGAGGCAAGAACCTGTATTGTACCAGTGAACTGTACCAAACCCCTAAAACCTCTTTTCCGTAAGAAAAACTGAATTAACTGGTCCTGTCCTTGGATACTGTTGAGMTGTAAGTACATTTTTATGGAAAACCAAGGTTTTTTTTTGCCATCAGAATGAGTTTTCAATGTTTGCTACATGAGCCAGGTGGGGAGGTCAAGAGGATATGTTGGGAAAGGAGGTGAAACACTGAAGATTTGAATTCCTGATAAAAGAGGGGAAATGTAGTAAACAGGAGAATGTAAGAGAGTATTTTTAAGTGAAAAAAAAAAGGAAGTTAAGAAACTCCAAAGATAAGAGCAAAGGAGGATGTCTAAGAACAAACAGTTGATAACGTGCAGTGATAAAGGAACTGATGTTTCCAGAACAACTTGTTCAGCAGGCAGGAAATGCAGAGCAAAGTGGGGTGAAGAATCCTGCTCCAAAGATGCTAAAATTGTGCTCTTTTTCCCCCCTACATTTCAGGGGTGARATAATTTCAGTAAAGCAATGGTGARATGATGTCTCATCATAATTTTAAGGATGAATATCACAGTGATGACAGGGAAACACCTGTAAAAACTGAAGTGATGCAAGAAAAGACCTTGAGTTCATAGCAATCTCTGAAAACATTCACAAAGCACTGTCTAAAACAAATCCCCCTTGAAAAGTGGCTGTTTTATTTTTAATGGAACAGATTTCAATCCCCTGGGCATTAACRAGTCAGGTTTTTCCTTCAAACACCTATTTTCCTGTTTCCTGTTAAAATTCCCTGATGTTGCACACGCTCCTGATCAGGCAGCATTTGCTCCCCAGCAGTGGAATTATGGGGATTATTAATTATTATTATGGAATTATGGAATAAAATGGAATTGTGGAATAATTATTGAATTATTATAATAATTATGGAATTGTTAATTATTCTTACCAACAGAAATAACTTCACTCCAGTCACTCCAGAATCCTCTGGCACAGCAGATGTGGTTGTGGTTGGCTCTCATCCTCACAGAATATCTGCTGGTGACATCGATCCGCAGTCGGAAGCTGTTTGAGGAGATTTTCAGTATCTGTTCAAAAAACAATTTGTGCTGTTACAGATGAATTAAGACTAAACCATTCAGAAAAGAAACTTTAGCCCTGWTGATCTTTTTATTAACTGTGAGGAGCTGGCCTTGCTTTGCAGGTAAGATCTCTATTTTTATAGGTGTAACTTCACCTGACACACCAATATTTCAGGGCAAATTCCTGAAAAATGCCTCATTTTCCCATTCTTCCTTTAAACACTTAATGCAGGATTTTCAAGATGGCAAAAACTGTTTGGAACCAGATGCATAAAGCTGAATAAATCCAATTTTGTCCTGCTTTCCCAAATCTCTTGGGGATGGTTTTTTGCAGAAAAGGCATTGAGGAAAAGATGAAGGCAAATTCCAGCAGCAGAGGACAGGAATGCTGGATAATATCAGATGMTGGAGGAGCAATTACCTGCTTGTTACCTGACTTCAGGTTGATGAGGTAAAATTCATATTCAAAACATTCCTTATCGAAAGGAGAAATTGGCTTCTCCCACGTGGCCAGGAGATCATTTTGCTCCAGGGATATGCTGATATTTCTGGGAACATTCACTTTCTCTGCAAAAAGAAAACTGTACTGTTAAGTTATTTATAGAGACAAGTTTAAATACTAAAAACTAGAGCATTTTATAACTTGATACTTTTTCCAAGTAGGATCTATAATTCTTGAATTTATTTCTCATTTTGGACTGAAAAGATAAGGATTTAGGAGGGATAACTACATTGCAGGTAATAGTTATGGGGAAAGAGTTTGGAAAATTCACTTAAAAGTTTTGGAAAACTAAAYCAMYTGAAAATTAGTATTGGGAATAATGSTTTGGCTAACAAACAGATTAACTGATTGCCTTTTCTATCTCTTGGTTTTGCCATTGTATAATTAGAAATAGATTATGAACATCAAATTTAGTTAAAACAATCCAGTTATCTCTTCTAATTTCCTTAAGATGACTGTGCAAAACCAATAAATCTTTTTACCTTAATCCACTCAATCCAGTAGAACATCCTCACAAATCTTTTGACAATCCTGCTAGACATTTTTCATCATTTTTTTTAACTACTCACCAATGGCATTTTGGTTAAATAACTGCTGGAAAGGCTTGATTGCAGCAYGTTTGCTGGAGCCATTAATGTGTATGACAATGAGTTTGTCAATCTCCCCAGGTTTAATYTGAGTACTCGAAAATCTGCACTCAATGTTCCTGTTCCACTCATCCTTGATGTAATTGTGGCATTCCTCAGTGTGTGTCTCATACCTAAATTAAAATGTTGGTGAGACAGGATGCTCTTAAAGGAATTGACAGCTGGCTGAAAAGGGAGAAAACACCAACCTGTAAAACAGAAAGTACATGGTGTCTTCTGGTGCCCCCTGGCCAGGGAGCCACGWGCAGTGGAGAGAGACATTGCCAGGAATGGTGACGTGAGTGACACAGGACAAGTTAGTGACAGAGGTCTCTGCTGCACCTGGAGAGGAGAGGAATTACAGGGTAGAGGGGAAACCTCAGTGAAAATCAGAACAAGTTGGTGTTGCTAAAACACTCTGATTCCATTACAGCTGTGTCTGCTGCATGCAATTCTTTCTTATCACAATGGATGGATGGAGAGATGGATGGATGGACAGGGATGGATGGATGGATGGATGGATGGATGGATGGATGGATGGATGGATGGATGGATGGATGGATGGATGGATGGATGGACAGGGATGGATGGATGGATGGATGGATGGATGGATGGATGGATGGATGTTCCCAAACAAATTCAAGCTGTGCCACAACACCATGTATTTCATGTGTAACAAGGCAACAATATCCTCAGTGCACCACAGGAGGTTAACTCAGCCTTAGCAAGGCATTTTTAGAAAATTTTACAGGTATTATTGATATTTTGCAACTCCAGATTGTACTCCAGGCTCCACTGCAGTAGAGAAAGGSCTGGACTAAATCCTTTTGTAGCAGGTAGAGCAGAAAATGCTGCATTTTTATTTTAAAGCCTTAAACCCGTCACCTTTTGATGTTTAATCCACAGACTGGGGCAGAACACAAAATCCAGCCCTTCCCTGGGCTGTCCTTACCTGGCAGAGGTGGGAGTTCTCCCTTCACCCAGTCACTGCTCATCTGAAGGCCCTCCTGGAGGAGCAAGGTCCGGACRCACGCGGAGAAGCCGTTGTGAAGCGCTGCTGTTCGGACACTGTGAGTCCTCTTGGTGTCATACTTGAAATTAAAAACATCAGATAAACATCACAGGGGATGGGAGCCAAAATAASGGACCTGCAAAGACTGAGCCAGTCACTGGGGTGAGCCCAGTGAGTCGAGCTGAATGAGGAGCCAGCACTTAAAGCCAGTATCCATCATCCCCTCCCAATGAAAACTGCAGTTTGCCAAGGCTTGTCCCAGCAGAGCTGTGTCCATCACCATGGCTGAAAGGGAATCCCTCCAATGCTCAGTGTGTGTTTAGATAAAAGAGAACACCAGRGATTTAGCCTKCTTAGGGTCCCTGATTTATTATTTRTCTTACCTCTTCAGGCACAGGGCTCAGGATTCTCACATCGTATCTAATGGTGGAGTTGTTTTGTTCTTGAGCAGGGTTTGGTTTCCAATGTAAAAGGACTTGAGCTAATGCAGAGACTGTGAGGGTGAAGTTAACAGGTGGGAAAACCTGAACTGGAAGGGAGAAAACAGAAATATCCATGAATATCCAATCTAGTGAATTGTTTAGAGCATAATCTGTTTGCAAGCACTGAGCAATGCARGCAAATAATTTAATTTCAACATTATATTCTGTAACAGCTTCTTATCAAATATTTCTAATATTCAAAAAAAATAACTTTAAATAACCAAAGCATTGTCAAAGAAGAATTTATTAAAACTTGGCTTAAAAATGAATTTTTACAACAGTTTCAACTTGAAAATTACTCTGAAGTATTACATTTGGCTTGTTAATTAGGTTCAGGTTTTTCATCTTAGTCCTCATTGTCACACAGACATAAGAAACAGGGCTGGTGGAGTGACCACCTGCATGAACAATTCCCACCCACATCAGYTTGCAGGAGAGGATAACGTGGGGGRCTTTSAAAGAGAGGTTTGACAGCCACAAGGGGCTGCATGTGAGAGCAGAACCAAAATGATGAACAGAGGAATTAAGCACAAATGGAAGAAAGCATAGAAGGATGGGAAGGAYAATTTAAAATGACAGGGCAAGAAGGATTCCTGGAGCTCCCATGGAAATGAGGGGGAGCTCGTGCTGGGGGAATGTTAGCATATAAATAGCAGGGSAGGGAGATAATCAATCTGCTCCCCTCCTGTTCTTCAGAGCCTGCCTTCCCTTATTTGCCAAATTCAAGGCAGTTGAGGGATATCAGCACCCCTGGGAGTGTCCAAGGCCAGGCTGGATGGGGCTCTGAGCACCCTGGTCTGGTGGAAGGTGGCACTGGATGGGCAGGGGTGGCACTGGATGGGCTTTAAGGCTCCTTCCAACCCAAACCCTTCTGGGATTCCATGATCAGCCCCCCTTCTCTTCTCCCATGATTCCAACCTTTGATGCCCAGGAGTTCCATTTCCAAGCACACATTGCTGTGGCAAAACTGTCCCATAAAGGCTCAGAAAACCCCAAGGCTCTCAAAGCTCCCAGAACTGCCCAGCCCAGAGGATTTGGCCCAAGTTGTGTCTCCATGATTTGAGGTCCTTCCCTCTCAAAGCAAACCAGGAACCAGCTGGGAACAAAAAACCTGTCTGTTTTTTCTACAGCTGTCCCAGGAATCAGGACAGCTTATCCATGGTCACCCCTGCTCCTGGGCCCATGGCCTGGCAGGAATTGTTCTGTCTGTGTGTAGAACCCAGCACAMAGAGGGGCYWTGGGSACCCACCAGTGCTAAATTTCCCCCYGGCAGAAGGAACCTCCTCACCTCCTGCACCTTGAGGCAGCTTTGGCTGAGCCACGTTTGTTGTCCAAAGCAGAATCAGGAAAACTCTCATCCCACTGGCCATCACCTCGGATGGTGGGTGGGCACAGCCAGGGATCAGCACATGTGTCTGGTGACCCTTTTACAGGAGCTGAAAAAGAACACAATCCCGAGGGTTAAGCACACAAACCATGGATCGTCATCTATGCACACCATCAAAGGAGTGAAACAGCTGCCTTGAAGGGGTAGAGTCTTCTTTTCTTGCAGGAAAATGCTTCTTGTGGAAGCTAAATTTAATGTAAGTACCACCAAGCTCATTTCATCTTGCTCCCTTTGCTAAATTTAATGTAAGTACCACCAAGCTCATTTCATCTTGCTCCCTTTGCCAGACCTCTCTGAAAAGCTGCTGGTTCCAAACCTTCGTGGGGATGTTCAGAGCAGCCATGGAACTGGAGCATTTCTCCAYGGAAGGTGAGTCAAGTTCGTGTATATTGGCTTTCAGGAGAGTTCCATTTCCTTCAAGAACAGAAATAACCATATTTTTATATCCTAACCTRTATAAAATAGCTGCTTACTGGGATTTGCTTTCCAGTTACTACTCCAATAAAACTCTCTACAGACAGAGTCAGCACTCACCTCAAGGCTAATTCTCCACTGTTAATTACTGGGTGTAAGAGAAACTGTTTTGTTTGTTTCTAATTTAAATGAACAACTATTTTAAATCTTAAACCGAACATTCTCTTGTGGATTGTTTCATGAATTACTGGGAGAAAAAAAAATCTCTGTGTAATCATTCATGTATAACCTAACAGAAATATGAGCTTCCAGAACAGCAGCTTTCCAAAATGTTCTTACAGAAGAGAAATGCACCCTCCCAGCCCAATCTCAGCGCTTCCCTGGGGCACTACAGMAATTGGTCGTATGGAAAACATAATATTTTCCAATGGTAATGAGCAGGAATAACCCAGGGACTGGAAGCACTCCCACTGATCACAGTTGGAATAATTCTGCTGTACAGAAACTATTTTTCAAAATGCAGTCGGAGCGCTGAGTTCATTAAAATGACACATCATCTACAGTAGAGTGTGTTTTTAATGTCCAAGTCCCCTCATTATCTATATTCACATTTTGTGCCTCTCTGCTTTCCTGACAGCCAAAATGTGCATGAGGCCAGCAGAAATTTGGGAGTTTGCTAATGGATGATTCCTGGGGAGACAGAGTTTGATTTTATGTACATTGGGTTATTGAAAGACATCTTGGCCAGGCRTTTCGGTTCTCCCAAAATGTAGCAAATCACAGACAATGGGACAAATATTCTCCACAGCTCACATTTGTGCCTGCCCAAATTATTGGCACCAGGCTTTCTTTGCTGTTTCAAGAAACATGATTTCATTTACCTGATGAAACTATTAAATACACTAATAACTTTTTCTCTGTTTAGAACSAAAAATTCATTATCTTCACATCCCTGAAAATAAAAACTAACTTTGGGAAAGATGCTTCATTAGTTTCACTGCTCAGAGCACTCATTCTTTTTTTTTAAAAAAAGCAATGACTTCAGTACATTATTTAAAAAAAAAATCTTTAAAAAGCCTCATGTTTTGCAAGTGCTCAGGATTCACRTCTACTTGAATTATGCCTTGGTTTCAGGCATTTAGCACAACTAGAAAAGCTGACTCTCCCTTGCGTTTATTTAAAGTGGATTTGGCTACCTGTGGATTTATTTTTTTCTACTTTGTCCTCAAAAATGAAGGGTTCTGATTCTTCTTTTCCCTATACATTCACAAAGATCCTAAAGATCTTCTTTTTTCTTTTGCTGTCTAAAAGCTTGCATGTATTATATCTTTTATTTTCTGAGCAGCATATTACTGAATTGAAACTGGATATAAAATGTTGCTGTAATACAGATGAGTCTTAAATTATTATCCTATTCTCTCCAGTTTATTTTTTTCCTGTTTTGTTTCCCCAAATGCTATTTTTTTCTCCTCAGATTGCTTTCTTAAGATTGAAAGCACAGCTTTTGGAAGATGTATTTCTGCAGCTGTACAAGACCAYATCCTCCAAGAACAAACTGCAGTCTGTGATCCCCTGTTTTAYAGGAAAAAATGCTGAAAAGAGAATCAAAGTGCATTCAAGTAAAGATGGTAACTAGAAGTCTACAAGAGGATTATGCTCCTCAAAAAAATGGATATGTTAAGTTTTCAGGACAAATAAAATTACCTGTTTTGGTAATACAGGTAAAAAGTAATGAGCAGAGGGTAAAGAGGATATTCCCTTGGTATAGGGAATATACTACTTTTAGAAGGATAGAAATCCAAAGCACAAAACCAGCCTTCTAAAGGTGATTTTCTCCCTTGCAGCCGATGTGTCCCAATATCTCACACACAACCAAGCAGCAGCAGATTCCAGATGCTTTTCCCAGCGCAAACTGACTTTGAAAAGCAGGACTTTCTGATCTTCAAAGCAAGCCCAAGGCAGACCCCAAGCCCTGCAGACACCCCGGGAGGTTACCTGTGCATCTCCAAGCCCTGTGAAGAGCTGGCTTTGTTTGTTCTCCATCCTCTGGGTGCTCTCCCTGTGGGTTTCTTTTATAACTGCTGCCTTTGTAGGACCAACGTGACTGGCACCTCAGAAACGATGGCAGAGGGTAAGTGAGATAAGAACGCCTTGAAAAAGGGAACTACGGATTTGACCACAGGGTGGAAGGCCCAATATAAACAGAGTTTAGCCCAGAAATGGGTTTATTTTATTTATTGAGAGTTAGTTATATACAATAGTCTGAAAGTTCTCTAATGACTTTTCAAAAGCAGAGATGTGCTGATTCACTGCAAAGAAATCACCTACAGTCACACTACTGATATCCCAATATCCTTGACAGCCTTAGAAAATCAAACCCAAACATTGCTGGAAAACTGTGCAGCTTCTGTCCAGTTTTTTTTAAGSAATCTTGTCCAAAGCTTTTGCCATACACCCATGCACACATTGTGCATTCCTAATACTATGTTGAAAGCTTTGAGCTGTGATCCACAGGGTTGGATAACTTCTGTATTCGCAGAGAAGCTGTGGATGCCCTGCCCCTGGAAGGGTTCCAGGCTGGATGGGGCTCATGGAAGGGGTTGAAACAGGATGATCTTTAAGGTTCCTTCCAACCTGTTCCATGATTCCATGATGGTGACACAGCTCACAAACAGAAGGAGCAGAATCCAACCAAAGGGCCCCAGGAAGACCCTGCAGGGAGCGGGGCTGTGTGTGATGGAGCTGTAGAAAGGATGAAAAGAAGGCTAATGACTCCCCCTCATTAACAACCTGGAATCCAAGCTATTAATGTGCAGGTGACACAACCTGGGAGAGGTAAGTGCTTTTGGGCTCGGGCTAGAACAAAGCAAGCTCCTGCCAAATTGGTGGCAATGGGTTTAATTCAACACAGACACGATCTCAACTGCATTTTAGGCATTATCAACTGTACATTATCTTAAATAATCAGTGATCACTGATAAGGTGTCTGCTCCCCAGAACAAAGTGGGGTTCTGGAGGGTCACACACTGGAGGGGTCAGTGCTGGAGTGTCCATCCCTGGGGTGATTTAAAGCCATGTGAATGTGACACTTGGGGACAYGGGGCAGTGKTGAACCTGGCAGTGCTGGGGCGCAGTTGGACTTGATGATTTTAGACGACTTTTTCAAAATTATGTCTTTCTGAYTCAGTGACTTAACACTGAAGCGCTACCGAGTCTCTTTTCATCAGAGAGAAGAAACTGATCAATTCCACCCCAGTTATTTTAGCATTACCTAGCAGTTTTCCCCCTGTTGTAACTGGTTTTCCCGTTGTAACGCCTTTTCTCTCAAATGAAACGAAGCCACGGTAAAGCTTTTATGATTTTATTGAGGATTTTTTTTTTTTTTTTTTTTTTTTTTTTTGCGAATCATTCCCGTCCGAGTGACGGTCGGACGGTACCGCTGAGGGGAGCGGGGACGGAGCGAGGCCCGGCCCGGCCCGGTCCCTGAGGGGAGCCGCTTTCCCCGAGCCCGGTTCGGTCCCTGAGGGGAGCCGCTTTACCTAAGCCAAGCCCGGTCCCTCCGCTTTCCCCGAACCCGGACCGGTTCGGTCCCTCCGCTTTCCCTGAGCCCGGCCAAGACCCTTCACGGTGCCGCTTTCCCCGAGCCCTGCCCGGCCTCTCCGCTTTCCCCGACCCGAGACCGGTCCGGCCCCTCGCAGAGCCGCTTTCCCCAAGCCCGGACCGGTTCCTCCGCTTTCCCCGATCCCGGCCCGGCCTCTCCGCTTTCCCCGAGCCCTCCCCGCCCCTGAGCGGACCCCCTTTCCCCGAGCCCGAAACGGCTCCTCCGCTTCCCCTGATCCCGGCTCTGCCCGGCCCTCAGCGGACCCTCTTTCTCCGATCCCGGCCCGGCCCCGCCGCTTTCCCCGAGCCCGGCCCGGCCCCTGATCGGAGCCGCTTTCCCCGAGTCCGACCCGGCCCTCAGCGAACCCCCTTTCCCCGAGCCCGAACCGGCTCCTCCGCTTTCCCCGATCCCGGCCCAGCCTCTCTGCTTTCCCCGGCCGCTCTCCGGCCCCTCCCCGGCCCCGCCCTGCCGGATCCCGGCGCCGCTCTGAGCTCATCGCCCGGCGCCGCCGATCGGGAGCTGGGCCCGGCACCCGCGGCTGGCTGGCTGGGTGAGTGAGTGAGAGACTGAGAGAGGGGCGGCGGGGCCGGGGCTGGGCGCGGCCGTGCCCCCGCTGATGYGGATGTGGATGTGGATGTGGGCTGAGCTGTTGGTTGTGCCCCGCAGGGCCGGGCTGTGGCTGCTGCGGCGGCGGCACGGCGGCACRGGCACCATGAGGCTGCAGGCGCCGCAGTTCCAGGCGCTCTTCACGCCGGGGCTGCGCAGCGTGGCCGGTGAGTGCGACCCGAAAAATGTCCCTGAGCGCAGCCCTGGGGGGATTCGGGTTGGGAGGGACCGTAAAGTTCATCCCAACCACACCTTCCACCCGAGCAGGGTGCTCAGAGYCCTGTCCAGCCTKGSCTTGAGGTGGGCCACAGCTTCTCTGGGAGYTCCATGCCAGGCCCTCACCGCCCTCACAGGGAAGAATTTATTCCCGATATTTAATCTAAATCTACTCTCCCTCACCTTAATGCCGTTCCACTTTGTCCTGTCACTCYATGCCCTGGTGAAAAGCTYYTCCCGAGCACTTTTCTTCTCCAGGGTCTCCCATAGCCTGTTTCTCCAGGCCAAACACCCTCAGCCTGGCTCCAGGGACATGGCAGAACTCCTTTTCCTTGTTGTAGGCAGATTCCATGATTCTCTGTTTTTCCTGGAGAAATCTGGGTTCATGGGTCTGCCATAAGTAATCTGAGTACTTTTCCCTTGTCAGCCCTTGACTGTTCACAGTGATCCCCAGCCCAGAGTCCCCAGTGCCAATTAGAGCCCCACCAATATTTAGGKTATCGRAAAAGCTCCAGAAGAAYAAAGCAGAAATGGCAAAGAAAATAYCTGTGGGTGCTCAGCTGGGTCACRAATTAGTKMATTTTGCATGAAGCTGTGAGGTGTTTGCTGTTCCCTGCATATTTGAGTGTTTGTTCCCACATCTGTGATTTTAATTTTGTGAGAAGGCAGGTTGTGGCTGACTGTGCCGTGGATTTGTGTGAGACATTGCTTTGTGGTTCTCYTTTCCTCCCCAGAACTGTTTGAGAAGAAGAACTATGAGCTGAGAATAGCAGGAGGGGCCGTGAGGGATTTATTGAGTGGAGTGACACCACAGGACATCGACTTTGCCACCACAGCCACACCAGCAGAGATGAAGGAGATGTTCACAGCAGCTGGGGTTCGTCTGATCAATAACAAAGGAGAAAAACACGGAACCATCACTGCCAGGGTTGGTTTGTGACTTGATTTGTTTTTTTTTCTACTTGTCTGTGGATGTGCAGCATGTCCAGTACAAAACTGGTAKCATGCTGCTTCTTTGTTGAAATATCACAACAGGGGTTTAAATGAGACCCTGCTTTAAGGCATGAAGTGATTTTTTGATTATTCATTGTRGAATTCAAGTAATTATCATATTATAATGCTGCTGTGTCATCAACAGAGAAAATAATGTAGGCTGCCCACACATGATCCTAATGTTTCCTGCTCTTGATTTCCTCTCAAGTTCTGTTTCTTCTACCTTGCTCTTTGTCCATCTCTTGCAGAAAGATTTCTGCAGGCTCTGTAGCAAATCTATAATGTAAAGATTATTTTCAGGGGTTCCTATTTCTCAGTTGTCAGCCCTACATGAAAACATGGCCCACTTTGTTTTGCATGTGTCAGGGCTGAAAAGATCTGCAGCTTCCACATTTCATTTCATGGTTGTGTTGAAGTAACGATGTCTGTGGGATTTGCAGCTCCATGAACAGAATTTTGAAATTACCACTCTCCGAATAGATGTTGTCACYGATGGACGGCACGCAGAGGTGGAGTTCACCACTGACTGGCACAAGGATGCTGAGAGGAGGGATCTGACTGTCAACTCCATGTTTTTAGGTAAATTTGAGAAACAATTATGTAGATGAAACAGTCAATTTTGAGTTTTGCCAGGAAATTCTGTCTCTGTGTCAGAGGTCTGTACACATACCTGAGATGATCTGACAGATTAAGTCAAATCACAAAATTTCGCCTCCAGATTCTCAAATAGAGTGTTCCATTGTGTCAGCCACATTTGTAAATTCATATTCCTCTATTTTTTCTTTTTTTCTAGGTTTGGATGGGACACTGTATGATTTCTTTAATGGTTATGAAGACTTGAAAAGCAAGAAAATCAGATTTGTAGGGAAGGCARCTGAGAGAATACAAGAGGATTATTTACGAATCCTGAGATATTTCAGGTAACAGGTTTTCCCTTTCCTTGAGAAATGAACTATAGAATGTTTCAAAAACATGCAAAAAGATACCAGTGATATAAAAAGGTTGTACTTGTCATATTTCCTTGCCAACCCAAATGATTTTGTGATTGTAAGTGGAATAGTTSTTCTAACATAACATCCAGGGATTTTATTTGGCAGATTTTATGGAAGAATTGCAGAAAAACCTGGAGATCATGAATCTAATACACTACAAGCAATTAAAGAAAATGCCAAAGGCTTGGCTGGAATATCAGGAGAAAGGATTTGGGTGGAACTGAAGAAAATTCTTCTGGGAAACCATGTAAACCACTTGGTTCAACTTATGTATGAGCTGGATATTGCCCAGTACATAGGTAAAGTTAAGTTTGATTTCCTGCTCCTCTACCTTATACAGACAGTATTTTGTGGCAAAGTGAGACCAAAGTTGGGATAAAATACAAAGAAATGAGATTTTTTTTTCCTGTGTTTATATCCACATTTCTTATTTTTTGCACTTTTTTTGTGTTTTTAGGGCTACCACTCGATGGGAATTTAGAGGAATTTGCCAGAGTCACAAAAAACATCCAAAATTTGTCTCCAAAACCCATGACTGTCCTGACATCTTTGTTCAAGAGCAAGGATGATGTCACAAACCTGGACCTGAGACTGAAAATCTCCAAGGAGGAAAAAAACCTTGGTCTTTTCTTGGTGAAGCACAGGCAGGAGTTAACCAAAGGCTCGGCGCCAGAACCACTTAGACCATACCAGGACTTCCTGATGGATGTAAGTGCATTTCACATTGCTTTGTTTGGGGCTTCACACTGAACTGATTTAACTAGTAACAGATTTATAAAAACCAAACCTCCTGTATTTCTGCAGCTGAGCACCCTGAGCTCTGTAGCGATTTTTTTGAATGATTTAAAATTCAGGCTGAAAAAATGTCACATTCCATCATTAGTTTCTTGTGACTTTCCTTGGGMCTGAGAGCTGTGCTGTCCTATTGAAATAGGAGACAGGAGCTGGACCTCAGGAAAATTGGGCTTTTTTTGTGTGAAATTCAGCTCTAATTTGTGTTGGGAAAACCAGTGCAGTTCCTGSTGTTTTTCCCAAGGCCCACTGTTCCACAGGCAACCTGTGATGATCTTTCACAGCCAAGTGAAGTRATTTCCAGGGGAATTCTGCACTTTTTGAGCATCACCCGAGACTGAAGGCAAGAACCAGTCTCCATGGTCAGGCCTGTCTCCCAGAGGAAGGGGGATGGATAAGGGTTACAGCTATTACCTGGATTTTAGTGAGTCCCCAAGGATCTCCCAGGGCCTCCAAAAATCCATTTTAACACCCAAGAGGCAGGAGAGATCCTTGCATCCATAGTTCCAGCTTTTCCAAACTCTTGCCTAATAAGGAGTAATGAGAATACCACAATGCTGAGCACACTTGGAGCTGTTTCTGCTGTTTCATAGTGAACTCTGTATTTTTCCCTTTTTTCCTTAGTCTAGGGAAGCAAACACCAATTCCAAGATCTTCGAGCTCCTGAAGTATCAAGGAGAAGAACAACTTTTGAAAGAAATGCAGGAATGGACTGTTCCCTCTTTCCCCGTCAGTGGCCAYGATCTGCGGAAGATGGGGGTGTCCTCTGGGAAGGAAATTGGGACAGCACTGCAGCAGCTGAGGGATGAATGGAAGAAGAGTGGATACCACATGGATAAAGAGGAACTGCTGAGCTGCCTGAAGAGGCCATAAAGTGAATAATAACAGAACTGTTTGTGCCCTGATCTGAGTGCAACTGAGCTCCCAGGAAACTGAGCCACTCACAGCCAACTGAGCATTTGTCACATYTAACATTTTCATTCCTAATTCATAATTTATGCAAAGAGAGGTTTAATACTGTAATAATGTAAAATATGGTTTGCCAAACTCCACATTCTCAACCTGCCTTTGCACTATTTAGGGATAAATATTTGGTACTTCATCATAACTTCAGAGCACGAGAGGTGACATAGAGATTTTTCTTGTTCTGACTTTCTATAACCAAAAAAAAAACCCAAATCCCCCAACAATGGTTGTTTTCATCCTCTAGATAAAATCATGGAGGTTTTTCCATGTGCCTAAGAGAATGTCTGGAAATAATGGGCTCTACCTTAACCTTTTTTGTACTTAAAGCTGGAAATACTCCAGCAGTTCCCAAACAGTCTGGAAAACCAGGCTGTGTCCTAAGACTTTTTTATTTTCCAGAATTCCAGAATCAGTTTAAGTTAAAAGGATGACTTGGCTGAGTGAGTATCATGAACTTTCAGTAGTTTTTCAGTARCTTATCACTGAGTAAATCCATAGAAAGCTGGTGAAGGTTCTAYGGTTTATTTTCTACTTCAGGTGTGAGACAAACGATTAATGTTAATTAACATTAATAGAGAGGAGATCCAGTTCCTTGTCTTGGGRATTTGGGGATTTGGAGCAGTGCTGTTCCTGGCTGGTCTTTATGAATGTATTCCCATCCCTATTTTTTTGTTTTGTGTGTGCTGTTAAAAAACCTCCTCTGGGAGCAGATAAACCTCCTCTTGTCTGTATAAATCTTCCTGCAGGTTGAAGTTTTCCTACAGAACCATGGTAACAAATAAACTCCTTTGGATTTCATTTTCCTTGGCTCTCATTTGGCAACACTAGATGGCAACACTGGAGCAATGCTGACAAAAAACAGCACTTGGGGCTTTGACACAACTTCCCAGCTGCCTTGGATTTTCCTGGGATGTCAGGTCCTCTAAATAAATTATCCTGAAGGTACTTGGGAATTTGTGGGAGGCAGTAAGGGAAGAGAGGAAGTGCTGTTTGTTAGTAGGGTAAATCTCACAAGAACATGATGGTGCTTAATTTAATGAAGTAATTAAATTCAAGCCTCCTTTGTGCAATTTATGGAATTACGGCAAGCCTGGAAGGGAGAGTGACAAAATTCAAGGCTGTGCAGAGTCCTTTAAAGAACATTTCCCTTTTCCCCATCCCAACAACCAGCAAAAACAGGTGAGTTTTGAAACAAATTGGATTTTATTCTTTGCAAATGTTTGCAAGCCACAAGATTTGTAAGAGAAGTTGTCCCAAAAGGCAGAGGAAGAGTTAAAGCAGAGACTGAGCTACCCCTGGAGCAGCTTTACAGAGCAATTAAAGGTGACAAAGAGAGGAACAAATGAACTTCAGCACATCCAAAAAGAGCATTAATAAAAAACAAGTGAGTATCTGAACGTGTTTCAGACCCAGTGTGCAAGGGGCTTGTGTGGTTCTAACAATCTGTCAAAATGAAACTGAAATAAATGAAAAGTTGCAATGTTACAGGCTCTGATTGGGGGCRTCGGTGATGCTGCAGTGAGGGCCTGAAAATGGGGGAGGCTGTGCTGGGACCCTCAGTCCTGCCCCACAGGACACTCCTGTTCCCCAGCCCCATTCCCACATCTCAGGCCAGGATAGGGATGGTGCTGGGAGAGAGGAGGAGAATGATCCCCTGGGGYAGCAGCCTGCAAATCCACTGGATTAATTAATTCCTGCATGAAGCTACACTCAGCCAATCAGTGGGGTAAATATAGCAAATATTCATAAAATCTGATTTCTTTTGATTAGCTCTCATAAGCAGTGATGTCCATATTTTTCCATATTGATGTTCCACATTTTCCATAATCCCAATCAATAGTTTTCTCTTCAAAACAGAGAAATTGAAAATACGGAAACCATGGAAAATAWGAACCAGTGTATGGAACTATCCCCAGCTCCACATCCACCCTCAAGTGCTGTAACTCTGATCCCTCCCAGGGATCCAGAAATGGATTCACCACCACAGGATTCATCAGCAACCCTTGTTTTCAACCTGGGAAGTGTCATGGGCTTCAAGATAGCAAATACTACACAAGTTAAGCACATGGAAMAGGATCATCAACAATGAAATTTAATTAGTGTTAATTTACTCCTGACTTACCTCCATTATATTAGTTTACATTTGACTATATACACAAAATACCAAAAAAAGCCTATTTTGGATTCAAACATTGCCATTTTTAGTTGAGGCAACCCAAAAGACTCAGGCAAAACTACAAAGAACTGAACCYTTAAGAAGTTCAGTGAGAGCTGAGAAAATCCTTTTGAACTTCCCCAGGYCCCAGTGAATGTTCAACTTCTTGCYACMACCAGGCCCACTGAGGATCACAGGAACAACAAACAGGAGGGACTTTGATGGAAAAAATAACAAAATAACCCAAATGTACAGTCCAGATGTGCTGTGAGTGGCAAGGGAAAGCCAGGCCTGCTTCCAGTGGATTTCCAAACACAGAGGATTCCCAATCTCCCTCTCACACCAGGCCTTGGCTTTCAAAGCTTAAATCATCATCAAAATGCAGAATGTTTTCTTGAAGAAAATGAGCCATCATTCACCCTCTATTGCTCAGGGCTAAATCCCAAATAGTGTTTTTCCCAGTTGACTGCCACATCAGGGCACTGCCCCTGGAACTGAGCACGGAATTAAAGATGCCAAAGGAGAACAAAAGCAGCACAGAGGTAGAAAGCTTCGAAGAACTAAACCTGAGTTACACAATCATTAATYTCTACATACCTGGCATGACAAATACCCAGCAGCATCCTGCAGCAATTCCATGGTTTTGGGTGTTTTTCCAGCTGCAGGCAYCACAGTGCCATGGGAATCAGCTCCTGCTGTGCCAGGCTTGGCCCTCAGCTTAAGTCCTTGCTACACCTGCCTGGAGCCTGACACAGAACAAGCAACCACTATCTCATGGATTAAACTTAAGTTTTACATCATTGTGAAGAAATAAAGAGTGAATGATAAAAGCTTCACAGCTAAAACAAGTGTTTATGTGCACAAACACTGAAAAAAATCTCCATTTCCATCACCAAAGTGCATTCTAAGACAAAAAAATACAATAAATCAGTGGCAAGGGCTGCCCCAGTTTGGCACCCGATTTCTGGAGCACAGACAGCCCTTTAAACAAAATAAAAATCAAATCAAAGATCTACTGAAAAACAATCTCCCCACCAAAGCACTACCTTTATTTCTCTTTTATTTAGAAACATTCCCTCTTCATAAGGTGATGGTGTGAAATTTTACTCTATGTTCTGAAAGTTAAAAYAAAAAATAATTAAAGAGAWGTTGCCTTCCCCTTGTCACAACAWGTACTACTTCAAACTCACCTCARTGGGGTGTTTTAGTGTCCTTCCCAAAGCCCTGGACACCTGCACAGGTGAATAAACCAGGAATAATTTTGGGAAGTAATGAAGCACACTGAACAGAACATGACCATGCTCTTTTACCCTCTGGGACTGCCCTGTGCATTTCTTAAAAACAGTTTAACATTTAAGACTTCTAAAGTCAAATGGACTAAACAGATGAGACAACTTGTAAGGAACAGACACTTCCCATGGGTTCCATCCTGGGAGGCAGCAGCAGTTGCAGCTTTGGCCCCTTCCAGCACTCACAAACTCTCAGGCTGCTTCTCTCCTCCATGGTTGTTCAGCCAAGAGCTGAGAAAGAGCACAAGCAACAAACCTGAAGGACTTCACCGAGTTAGAAACAGGGATTCTCAGCAAACCACTTGTAAGTGTGTTATGAACACTCCACAGCAGGGAACTGCAGAAATCAGATTCTGCTCACTGGGATTTTAGCTGGATTTTAGTTTCCATCCTCCTTCCTTCCTTCAAGTGGGAATTACACAAGGAAAAAGTCCAGTCTCAAGTCTGACCAGGAGGATCAGAGATTTCCTGGTGTTCCATCACCTTCTCCTCAGCTCTCCTGGAAGGACTCGGCGCTCAGCCCCGGAGCTCTGCAGGAACAACAACGCGGATTCTCAGCACTCCCAGCCCCGGTTCCTGTGGTTCCCTCGGGATGGGAGCGTGCCTGGRGCTCCTGGGGTTGAGGAAGCATCGAAGCAGAACTGAGCAGATGCAGGAGGGGGAAGGTCACAGGCAGAGCAGCGGCGACCGCTCGTGCACCGAGTCCTCCTCGTCGTCCCCCTCGGGAATGCGCGGCTGCAGCGCCGAGCGCGTCAATCCCCAGAACTTGGGAGGGGACAGCTCCTTCTTGGTGGCTGTGAACTTCCAGCCCATGTGGCTGCCACAGATCCGGCACTCGGCTATGGTCCAGGCATACCTGCAGGGCAAAGCAAAGCCTTGGTGACAACAGGGAAGAAAAAGATATTTGGAAAATGTTTCATCAGGCAAGAGCCCCAAACTGGATTTGGGTGAGAATCCCAAGCTGGATTCGAGTAAGAATCCCGAGGTGGATTTGGGTAAGAATCCCAAATTGGATTTGGTTAACAATCCCAAACTGGATTCGAGTAAGAATCCCAAGTTGGATTCGAGTAAGAATCCCGAGGTGGATTTGGGTAAGAATCCCAAATTGGATTTGGTTAACAATCCCAAACTGGATTCGAGTAAGAATCCCAAGCTGGATTCTTTCAGCAAAGAATTTGAGCAAAGATTCTACACTATGTTATAAAATTTTAATGTGGCCCCAATTAAAAAATACCCAAGAAAAATTCTGCAATGTTTTATGTCATTTTGCCATTTTATTCTGTATATTGAATAAGTCCAAAATTACTTTTTTTTTATACGAGCAAAATGATGACACATGCCTAAAAAATCCAGTATTTCCTATTCCAACCTCCCAGAAATACCCAATTTGGGTGATTTTCCAGTAAAATGTTGCTGCTCTTACCCAGGGAACCAGCTGTGGTCCGTTGAGGGCCGGCCACGGAGATTCAGATTGTAGGCTTTATATACAGTGAGGGTTTCATGGATGTATCCATGGGGATTCACATAGGCTGCCATGGGCCCRCACAGGGATAAACTGCAACACACAAGGAATTTGTCAGAGTGCAAGGAAAAACTTTAAAAAAAACCCCTCCAGGCTGGCAAATGTAAACAGAGGAAAAACTGCCAGCTAAATTTAAAATATTTCTCCAGAGCAAAATCCGTAGAGGGAAAAAAAAGTCCATTTAATTATGTTATTAATAACTGAAAGCAAACAGATGCTAATGTAAAATATCATTGGTCAAATTTTCTTAGAATTGCAGAAAAATACATGATAGACTCATATTGTGTATTATCTTAAATAGCAACTTCCAAGAAAAGCAAGGAAAATCTMCCTTTAAAAGCAAGGAAAAATGTTCATTTATTGCACCAACCCCTTCTGTTAAAGTTCATCATATTGACACAGCAGGAGCTGTGGTGTCTGGAATCCATTATTTGATTAGAAGATAAGAAATAGATTTTAATTACTCCATCAGCTCCTTATCACACTGATAAAGAAAAACTGTGGGGAGTCTTTGTTAACCCAAAGCACCTTTTAACCTTCCCATTATCACAGGGCATGGGCTGATAGGAGTGAATCAAGATTCAAACAGTGCCAAGGCTGACAGAAGCAGCAATTATTGGGGAAAYGTACAATGTCTGATCATTGTTAAACATGGGAGATATTGTATAGGCAAATAGAATGGGGTTATTCCTGTAGTTATCAGGAATAACCTTAAATTCTTAAAAGGAAAAAGGATCTCAACCCTTAGTAACAATAACAGGAACCTTTCTTGCATGCCAGCATCCTGGGAGCCCATTCATAGCACCCCTAATTAGTGCATTTTAATCTGCTGTTGAGGCTTGTTGACAAATAAAGTGCTGAGAAATAAAATTTGGGATCTCATAAATCCTGGTAGAAATACCAGGATGGAGAAGTCTTTATGTGACACATTCATATTTCAAATTCTTCACTGCAAGGTGCTGGGGGTGTGGCACAATACCAATTTCTGTTACAATATACCTGGAGATGCTCAGATTCCCTAACTTTTTATTAAAAAAGCTCAAATATAACCCCCCTATAAATATTTACTTATATTTCATTAGAGCAGTGGCAAACACAGCAGTTTTCAGACATAACCCAGCTTAATCTGCTTTGCTGTACTACTATTTCTGACCAAGGACCTCCCCAAGASGAAGAGTAATAAACTCACCTGAATATTTCATTCTTGGTAGTTATTTCTGTGTCTTGGCATTGCTTACAACAGAGAGATGTGCACTTGRAAAGAGAAACAAAGAGGATAATTTAATTAATTTCCAGATGCTTTGTCAGCAGTGGGAAATKATAAAAATGTCTCTCCCTTTACCCCAGAACAGACTGCACCAATTGTTTTGTTTATCWGAGCAGCAGTCACTTCTGTAGGGTATTTTTTCTTAAACATTAATTATTATCTAAAAGACGGAGCAATTCTCATTTACTCCCCCCACAAAAAGATCCACACACACAGAATTGGATCTGACTTCACAAAGATAATAAATGAGCCAACCTTTTAAGGTCTCTGAAGGCTAATTTAGAAAAAAACAACCTTTGCTCTTCTTCATTACAACACAGAAAAGGCAGATGAGACAAATRCAATCATTAAGTCTTTCTAAAATTTGAGGGTACTGTAGATCAATGGGTTTAATTTTCTCACAAAAATAGGTAAAACATATTGATCTCCCTGCTGGAGATTATAACAGATTAATCCATCTTCTACAATTTCTACAAAGTAGAACTGAACAATTCATCACTGACACTGCCCAGAGAAGAAGCATTTAAATCAGCTCAGCAGAAYACTCCCATTAATTTTCAGGAGGTGCATCACCCCTTTTTAAGGGTAATTCCTGTGAAATGACCCCAAAAATGATCCASTGTGTTTTGGAATAAAATGCTGCACCCAGGGACAGGGATGGGATCTTCACCCAAGCTTTTAAAACCTGGAGTCAACCACGGCTTTTGCTTCTGAGCCCCCTGAGCTGTGACTCCTGCACTCTGCCTGTGACAGGCATACACTCGGGGGTCAGTCCTTCCTGTCCCTTTTTCCTTTCAGAGCTCCCTGCAGCATTCCAGCTCCTTTCCTGACAGTGCCACTGGTCCTGCCCCACTCTGAATTCATTCCCTGCAGCATTCCAGCTCCTCCAGCTCCTTTCCTGACAGTGCCTCTGGTCCTGCCCCACTCTGAATTCACTCCCTGCAGCATTCCAGCTCCTCCAGCTCCCTTCTTGATAGTGCCACTGGTCCTGCCCCACTCTGAATTCATTCCCTGCAGCATTCCAGCTCCTCCAGCTCCCTTCCTGCAGCTGCCCCACTCTGAACTCACTCCCTGCCCTCTGGAAACTGAGGAAGGACAAGAGCTCTACTACACAGAYACTCTTTGTCCTCTCTTCAGGCTCCCATGGTCTCCCTCTCCTGCCTGGGACCTTTCCCACCTCTTTTAAACCCCTGAGTCACAGATTGCAATCCAGCACTCTCAGAGTCCAATTCAGCCACTACTCAGTTCCATGGCTCCACTTCCAAACCCATCTAATGACTGCAMTTGGCACTCCCAAGTGGAATCCACAGGAGTGTCACCCCTGGGAGTCAGGAACATTCCTTAAAACAAGCCCAGTGTTCCTGTAACTGGATTTAATAAAGCTGGTAAAAGTACAATGTAATTCCCTGGTACCAGAGACAAAGAGAAATGGATCAGCTCTCTGGATCAGTTTTATTACTGGAAATCACATTCTGAACAAGCCAGAGCATCCTAAAGAACACTGCCTGGAAAAGACTGGATTCGACCAAAAGGTTCCTAAAAATATATAAAAAACCACAATACACTCTCCATTCTCACACTAATGCAGAAAATTTACAGACCAAAATGTCACATGTTGCTGAAGATAACACCTTTTGGGTATAACCTAAAAGGCAACTTTAACTGGAATTTATGAGGGTAATTTTTCCTGCCACTTTGGAATTTAKAGAAAATACAGAATGTGGTGAACACRAAMAGTTYTCAGGAGAACTTGAGTCTATCAGGRTATTTTCAGAGTTTYAACTCAGGAAAGACAATTTAAGTTTAGTCTGATTWCAGCCCCAGGCAAAAACCTGCCCATTTCTGTCTGAGAATCTCACAGAGATTTCTGCATCCTTTCTCTGTATCTTCCTTTTTGAATTTCTAGTGCATGAAGTTTGGGAAGAGGAACACTTAAAATGACACTCAGGTTCACTTTTCCCTAGAAACAGGCAAGAATTTAATGACAGTACTTTTCAGGCAAACAGAGAAAACTGTCATTGCTCTGTATCCATTAGAAAATCATATTATGAAGAAAATATAAATTATTGCAAAGAACTGTACTACACAGAAATAGAACATTTAGAGCATTACAAGGCCATGGCAACAGAAAGAATGAAAAACCAGTTTTTAAACATCTTAACAAGGAATTGCCTAACAAGGCTTTTACAAAAAAAAATATTTTCATCCCCATCTTTAGATTTATACTAGATTTTGCTACAAAATTCACAAGTTTCCATGGCCCAGTGATGCTTGATTGTGATGTCAGTAGGGGGCTGTGATGGTTATTAGCAACACTGGACTTCTAGCACCATCTCTTGGCTAAAGAAGTGCTGTGCCACATTGAAATATTTCTAACAAAAGCAAATATCATTATATAAATTATTATATATATTATTATATGTTTCTTGCTTGCTGCCAAACATAATCCAGCAATGAGAAATCACCTTCCTTTTGAGGAAACTTTTGAAGAAATAACAGAACACCATGATTAGCTGGAAATTCCATATGTTTCTGGATGAGATTGTAACAGTCACACCAGCATTTTTTTCTTCAAAAACAATTTAATGGCAAATAAAGAAGAGCTACTCACTCTGTTCATGATATCTAACTCACAACGGAGCCTCTGCACAGCACTGCCTATTTGGAGCAACTGGATACGTAAAGCATCATCAATGGGCAGGCAGGCAGCAACTCTGTAAGAAAAATCTAGAAATAAGAAAGCAGCAGATCTGTTAGAATTAGCAGAGAAATAAAACCTAGGATTTCTATTTACTATATAATAGGTATTTTTCTAAGCTGGGTTTTCTTAAGAAATTAAAAAATTTGAGTTCATAAAATCACATACCTACTGGGTTTGATGGAAGATATTCATCTTGAAGGTTTTCATCCCACTCGTGGAGCTGCCTCTTGACTCTTTCCATCAAGGTTTCCTTTTGTTAGAAGAAAAGCCTAATTTAAATACATAGGTATTGCTGTTTTCTTAGGAAAAAAACAAAAGGGAAGCAAAACGTAGAGTAAGCTCTTTTCCCYAAGTGGACATTAGCTTTTAAGACTTACAATAATTAAAGAATCACTTTTTACCTACATATTTGAACTATTTTGGCTCTGAGACAACACAMAAGGAACCAGAATCTCTGCTGTCCCTCCCAGACATTTGCACCAGGGAACATCCACCCAGAGGGGGAAGCCCTTCCTGATCTTTTCACACTACACTGAAAACTATAAAATGCTCTAAAATGTAATTTGTGAGCCAGCAGAAATAAAGTTTTTATTTTATCCCATACWTGGATATTACAACTATAAAACTCACTGTAGGTTATTTGATTGAAGGGTGAACTTACAGCATCATAGAGAGAGTAGAGCCAGGGGGGCCAAGAYGTCAAACTTGCACAGTGGAACTTCCTCTGAAACCAAACCCACAAATATTTATTCTTTAACATTAGCAGGTTTTAGAGACAGTTCTTGTCAGAACAAATAAACAGAGGAGACAGACCTGAGTATTAAAAGATACAAGAAATCATGCCCATCAGAACCAGCACTTCAGTGTGAAGCTTCCAAACCCAATTTAGATGCACTGGGAGCTAATCCTTCTGAACAGGACAATACATGGATTTTGTCACACAACCTGTCTCTGCATWAGAGGTATTTCTGATGTTCAGTAATAAAAAATTATGTCTTTCAAAAGGTATCTGAAATGGAGACAGCTCAAATTTTAATTGCTATTAACAGTGCATCTGTTCTGAAGTCTCCACCAGCTGTCCCTGGAACCACCAAATTTCCACCAGTGTAATGTCATTTGTTTAATTAACYAATTCTCTCCAGTGACTCCACAACACAGAAATTTAGAGTTTGAGTTAATAAAAGCCTAAAAAGCTGCACACAACATAAYCACACTGCTTTTCAAAGGAGCATCTCATATTGCACTGCAAATATGTACAAATTAATTTTTAATCGTCCCCCTGAGGGCAACTCTCCTCATTTACAAATTACATCAATACAGAGCTGGAGGTCAACAGGACAATTACCCTGCTCTGGATCTGCATCCCATGTTTTTCCTGAAGGGGGTTCTACTTTATTTCAGCTTCATCTGACAGAATCAGCCTTGGAAAGGGATTCCCACCCCCACAGCCCAGTGTTTCTGGGCTCATTAACTCATGTGAACTTGGTCAAAAACTCTGAGAATCAAGAGCTCTTTTTATCGATGCAGTAGTTAATTTGTTTTTGAGGGTACAAGAGTTCARAACCATTGAAGAAAAAAGAAAATCCAAACATGAGGAGAGTTACCAGGATTCTGTATTAATTTCTGGACGTAATTCCAAAGATCTCTCTACAGAGACAGAAGAATTCAAGGTATCTTCTCTACGTCAACGACCAGAACAGTGGGATAAACAATAAATACAGCTAAAAACTGGCACAGGTTGTCCAAAATAACTGCTCACCTTTTGGTACTTCTGCCACCACTGCCGGATGGCTGTGTCCTGCCAGGAAGTGGGCTTGGAAGAGGGAATTACATGGCAYCTGCTGAGAGATTGCAGCTGCACTGCTGACATGGTGGGAGGCAGCACTCGCTCAGGGAGGATCTGGACCTTAGCCTGCTGGATTCTGAGAAAGGAAACAAAAAGATGAGGTATACATGTATTTTTCAAACTTTTTTTTTTAAATACATGCCTTTAAAAAATGGATTTTCGTGCCGAAGAGAACACAGGCTGGTGCAATAGATTAATCACAGAATTAAAGCAACAACCCATTCTGTCAGAACTTCTTGTCTCTTTATTTCAGAGCACTACAGATCTGCTGGGGTTGTGGCAGACAGAAATACAGACAGATTGGCAGTGGCAACACGGCAGAATGTTCCACCATCTCAGCAYTACAGATTTAGATTTTTGTCTCCTCAAGTTACTTTTGGTCTAAGCTAACACTCAGCTTTTCCATCTCAATGCCTCMGTTTAGCTGAAATGCAGTTTGCTATCTTCAAACCACAAAAGCTGCTGTGCTCAGCTCCAGGTCAGAATCAGCAGAAATAGGATGGAAACMCTGATCATATTTTAATATCCCAGCATCAACGAGGTCACCTCTTCCACAAAGACCTCAGCATATGTTATGTGGCTGCTAAAAATGCTGTCCAGCAGGAAAGACTTCATATTTTATCAGGATTATGCAGCAGAAATCCTGAAATATCAAGGTGTATGTCACTTCAAATTTCTAATTTTCTTACAGGGACAACACTGAACYGGTAACTTATAACGAATTATAAAATGATGTTGTGCCACAAGCACTTAGGAATCAGAAACACTGAGAATTATGGAAATTTTCTTGCTCAGGACACTGAATTGTCAGTAACAAAGCTGCTGTTATTGCAGCTGTCCAAGCACTGCCACCMTGTGTCCAAGCAGGGCTGTAACATTCAGAGCCTGCTGCTTGAAACCAAATGTTAGAGCAAAGAGCACAGGGATTCCTCATTCCTTCAGCTGCAGGTCAGAAAACCACAGAAATGCTGCTCCCAGGCCTCTTTCTGAAGCAATACCACTGTGCTGAATTGCAGRGCACAGGTGATTAGCTCTAGATTTACAGATTTGGAGTGAGACTTCCCAAGCCTTGCAGAAAAGATTACAGAACCTCTAGCATTGTGCTAAGAATTGTCACATGTTCTCAGATCAGTGCTGAAGCCTGAACCTCTGGCCAGTGACACTGCCATGGTGCAGGACACCATGCCAAGAACTCGAAAATGAGGGAACACTCAGCAAATCTTCACTGAATGTCCAGGATCTTAATCACTCTTAGAAATGGACAAAGGCATGAATTATATAATAAGAATTAGAAGAACATGTAAATATCACAGGTATCACACCAGAATATGGAAAACAGCTAGAAAATAATAGAATAGTCCTATTAAAGTTGACTTGAGTATAGGAATAAATGCATAATTTTCTTACCCATCTGACTGTGTTCTTATTTCAAGCACTTTAAACCTCTGTCTTCCTATTGCTTTCACCTTGACTGTTTCAACTCCATATTCCTGCTCTTCTCTGTAGGCATAGATTTCTGCTGTCGTTCCAAACTGTGCTTCCCTCTCCTGTGTATCACTAAAAAAAGCAGAATTAAAGATGAACTAAATTAATTATCCCCCCTCCAAACAGCACTGCTCATTCAGACTCCAATCTGCCTGCACTGACTGTACATGACTGGTCTGACCAAAAAAAAAATTTGTAGAATACCTTTAATTAATCACAATCATTATTTTTCCATTATAAAGTAACTTCTATTGTTTTGTATGGTTTGGTTTTTTTGCCAGTTGGTTTTATACCAGAGCTTAGAGGTGACATTCTGGGAGCACAGGGATCACCAATGTGCCAGCATTTCAAATGCAGACACTGCAAGTACCAGCATTTCTTAGATTGACTTTGTACCAGGAACTGTTCCCACCTCCCACACAATTAAACCATAGTAAATTGTGGGGGGAAGAGGGAGGAACATTCCCCACTTCTTTTGGCACTGATCAGCCTTTCTCTACTCCACATTTCTCTCACCTCCTGTGTCTCAACTCTGCTGTGAAACATTTGCCAGCGCTTGTTAATTCACACACCACAAAAGCAACAATACAGCTCTCAAAACAAGAATGTGACTTTTACATTTCAGGTCAAGGCTTATTCTTTTAACAAGATGAAACAAACAGTTACAGAAATGAAGAGGGTGCTCAAACAAGGAAGCAGATCAGCACAAACCCGTGATGCTGACAGCACCCACACTGCCATTACATATTGGAAGACAATTTTTGTTAAACAATTCCACATTGTTATTCCCCACAAAACCGGTACAACCATCTGCTTTTGCTTTCAAAACTGCGCTAACAACATGCTGCACACACTAACGACCTGCCCGTGGCTTTTACCTGTATGCAAGGACAGCAAAGGTTCTGTCTTTCTGAATTAAATTCCGCACCATGCTAACCTCTTGGGGGCGGAAGAGCTGCAGCGGCAGCGTCTGCCCGGGGATCAGCATCACCATCACCCGCGGCAGCACGGGCATCACCTGGCAGCTGTCATCATCGTGCACCGTCCTCCCGTGGAACTCCTCCATATCCGAGCCTAGGTACTGGCACAGCAAGAACACACAGTCAGGGATGTTTGCAGGGTGGATGTGGACACCAAAGGGGTCAGGGGATGGAGTTCTGCCTGAGGAAAGGCTGGGAGAGCTGGGATTGCTAAGCCTGGAGGAGGAAGGCTCCAGGGTGGTCAAATTGGGGCCTGTGAGTGCCTGAAGGAGCTACAGGATAGGTGAGATTATTCACAAAGGATGGAGTGCCAGGATAAAGGGAATGGTTTCCCGTGGCCAGAGGGCAGGGATAGATGGATATTGGGAAGAATTGTTTCCTGTCAGGGTGGGCAGACCCTGGCACAGGGTGCCCAGAGAAGCTGTGGCTGCCCCTGGATCCCTGGTAATGCCCAAGGCCAGGCTGGAGCACCCTGGGACAGTGGAAAGTGTCCCTGCCCAGGGGGTGGCACTGGATGTCCTTCAAGGTTTCTCCAACCCAACCCATTCTGTKATCTTATGATTCTGTGAAAATAAAATTAAGTTTGTGGCTTAAGAACAATGAAAMTATACAAAATCCATTAAAATCCCATCAGGATCTATTTAACAGACAATATATACAACACATACCATATGTGATGTGGGCAAACTGGTATCAAAATTAATGATGTTTGGCTTCTCAGCTTCTTTACCGTCTTGGTCTTCCACTTCCATTTCATTGTCATCCTCTTCCTCACCCTCTACTGATAAGCACATACACAATATTATGTAGAAATCAATCAGCAAAGACTGAGAGACTGAGAAAAACCAAAGAATCAGGGAAATGAATTCAATATTCCCCAGGCTACAACCTTGCACAGGGAAATAAACCTGAGGAAAATAATTTTATTGCTGTTACAGCAAAATCCTCATTCTCTAGAAAGGGTCAAAAGCTGGTAATTTATTTCTGAAAGGCTAAAGAACARCTTTCCTTGGAAGAAAATAATAAACAAAGGCTGTCAGTTCATGTTTTCACTACAGTGGTACTTCCTTATCTCAGTTCTAAAGGTTTTCTGTCTGCACACCAGGATGCCAGATAACTTCATTTCTTGTAGGACGCTGAATAAAGCRTCTGAAGCAGCACAAACCTGAACAGTCAGACTGCAAGTGAGCACAAAGCAATGTGAAGCTCTGTAGCCATGCAGAGACTCTTGCTGGTATTTTAGACAATTTAATTGCTGTCAGCCTCTGCTGTGTGCACACCAAASACAAACCCAGCAAAGGCAGCTCCTGAGGAAGCAAATTACAACACTCCAAGGGATGTCAGACATAAAATAGTATTTACAAACTACTACTTCCTTCCCATTTCTCAGTCAATCCTAAAGTAATTTTCAGACAAGAGGACAATTAAGTTGTCAGTGGCTGCTTTACTTGACCCTATTTATCTGAACACAGACATTATTTATACACCATGTTATGTCTAAACAGAATGTTACAATAAACTGATCTGCAGGATTCTTATACCGAGAGCTGCTGGGTAATGGATAATCCCAGTGGTGCTGGGAAAAACATCATCTAGACCTTGAAAGCCAGACAGAAACAAAGACAGAAAAAAAAGCAAGATAGAAAAAAAATCATTAGAACAGTCTGTCTTGCTTCTTGCCTGCCTTTGCAATTATATCTCCTTAAAAAATAATTCAGAGTTGAAAATTTAGAAGGTGGAGGGATTCTTTCATGCTGAAGGCTTCTGTAGGGCACAGTCACAAAAGAAAAATGCTGCAGAAGCAAAGACTTTTCCTTCATAATTGGGAGCACCACTAATTTTACTGGTTCTGAGAGTGGGAGGACAAGAGAACAGTTAAGAAGACATTAAAAGCTGATTCTGGAGAACCTTTTCTTTCCCTCTTTGGCCTGCAGGCACATTTGTTAACTGYTCTTCACAAAATGTTTAGTCACTGGTCTTAGTTCTGCTTCACCTCACTCGTGTTTTTTTTAAACAGTGCACAGTTTACAGAACCTGCTCCTACACATCCATCCTATATTGTATTTATCTCAGCAAGAAATGATCCAGCACAACAGGAAAGGAGGTTACGAAACTCTCTTTGGTATCGTACCTAATTACAGTCCTTTAAGCACTGAGACACCATCTGCCTAATGACTGTTAAAAATACTCCCCATCTCTATGAAATTTCTTATATTCAATTAGCAACCCGAACCATGAACGATTACAAAATGATCTCCAAAACAGCCATTATTTTGCTTAGTTTGATGGAGGAGAAGAGCAGGAAGTTTTTGTTTAGTTCTGAGGGCATCACTGCAGGATAGTRGAGGAAAAATTCTATTTTTCCCATGTGCTCTCATGCTGCTGCATTCATCATTAGCAGTTTGAACGGAGAGAGCCCGTCCTGCTTATTTTTCTGAACGCAGAAGGAATTAGCAGCAGTTGATTGGAAAGAATTGTGCCCTGCAAACTTTTGCTGGCTCTTGCCAAAAGCGCACAGTGGCTGCTGTGTGGTGCTGGTGGCTGAGGGACGATGACTCATTTCACTGCAGCAGCACCAGCAAGCCCAAAACACAGAGAAAATCCCGGCGCCTTCACTCTCCTCCTCCCTCTCAGCTGGCAAAACAAGCTCAAGCTTTTACACCCCCATCTATCCGGGTTTATTTTTTATTTTTTTTTAATTCCAGGATTAGCAACACCTCCAGCACACAAGAACAAGGGAAAAGCGAGTGCTGAAGGCTCCTCTGCATCACAAAAATCACATTTTCCTCATGCTGGTTCACTAACACAATCCAATCCACTCTCAAAGCCTTTGTGCAGAAATGAGAAAATATGAACCTCATTTAAGGAAGAGGGACAAGGTTATATATAGGTCATATTAAGGCTGTATTTCCTAAAATATTCA